CAGTTCAAATTTAAATTTTGGTGTTCAACTTTGCGTTTCAAAAATACAACAACCGTTCATTTTTCGTTTTGCAATTACGGGTTAAATAAGGTAAAACGAATGGATTCATAAAATTCATAAAAGAAACAATAATTACAGGAATAGCCTACTGGACTCTAAACCTCAAAGAAATGCCACAATCAAGACCTCGGAGCTGAAATGAGGGAGAACTCCGTGTCTTTCCCTGCCATTAATTAATGCCATTAATGCGTCTCCTTCCATTAATAATAATAATGTCTAGTGCGGTGGCTACCAACGTCCGTTGCCATGATTTTTGGAATGATTATGGAAAAAAAGACGTTTAGTCGCATAACATCGGTCATTTGGCAATAGTTTTTTATCGACATTTAGAAAAAAAGGCAAAAGTTTTGCGCAAATCTGTAATGGAAACGCGCGTAATGGCGAGCGAAAGAGAGAGAATGTTGTTGCAGCTGGAACTAATCGACGTTGAACAACAAATTATTTTATTGCAAATGTTTAATCGCAGAAGTGATTTAATCGTTCCTCAACGTGATACATCGTTGAAACAAACTGCGCACTTTAAAAATGGCGGTATAGCGGGAGGGGGAAACCGGAAAAGCTACACTCCCGAAATGATGTATAATCTGACCAATCACAGCCCTTGCGGTCTGCGTCGCCTCGACGCGTAGTTACAATTTTTTGGAGGTGCACGTCGAGCTACAGGCCAATTTATACTTCTGCGTCGGGTGCGCGCAGTAGGTACGGCGTAGCATACGCACAGACGCGTACCATACGCCGTACCCTTCGCCGTAACCTGACGCGCACCTCCTCAAAAATGTAACTACACGTCGCGACGACGCGGACCGCAAGATCTGTGATTGGTCGGCTTGGTAGCATCGCGTTTCCTCCTATGCATTTCCGGCGTGTTCTTCTGCACCACCCGCCATTTTTAAATTCTAAGTACAGCGAAACTGTTAAAAAAACTAAAAATTGACCTTTTCCACCTCGATAAGCTCCAACTCCAACATGATCTGCTCTCTTTCAGTCGCCATTGCTTGTAGTAACCTAAACTCAAAACAGCCGCGAGGAATCTTCTTCTTCTTGCCGCGAGGAATCTAAACACAGTGGAACATTAAAACCCTCCGCCGCCAATTAGCGTTTCGGCGCTGTACTGCAGAGCAACGCAGACCTAAACGCAGAAGTATAAATGCTCATGACGGCGTCGCCTACGTGCGTAGCCTACGCCGTACACTACGGCGTACACAAGTATAAATTGGCCTTACGGCGGAGGGGTCGGAGAGGGGTTCGCGGCGACGCAGAGGGCTCTGCGGGGGTACGCCGTCACAGGCTTAAAGGCCAATTTATACTTCTGCGTCGAGTGTACGCCGTAGTGTACGGCGTAGGCTACGCACGTAGGCGACGCCGTCATGAGCATTTATACTTCTGCGTTTAGGTCTGCGTTGCTCTGCAGTACAGCGCCGAAACGCTAGTTGGCGGCGGAGGGTTTTAATGTTTCACTGTGTTTAGATTCCTCGCGGCAAGAAGAAGAAGATTCCTCGCGGCTGTTTTGAGTTTAGGTTACTACAAGCAATGTCGACTGAAAGAGAGCAGATCATGTTGGAGTTGGAGCTTATCGAGGTGGAAAAGGTAAATTTTTAGTTTTTTTTTAACAGTTTCGCTGTACTTAGAATTTAAAAATGGCGGGCGGTGCAGAAGAACACGCCGGAAATACATAGGAGGAAACGCGATGCTCCCAAGCCGACCAATCACAGATCTTGCGGTCCGCGTCGTTGCGACGTGTAGTTACATTTTTGAGGAGGTGCGCGTCAGGTTACGGCGAAGGGTACGGCGAATGGTACGCGTCTGTGCGTATGCTACGCCGTACCTACTGTGCGCACCCGACGCAGAAGTATAAATTGGCCTTAAGACGTATGGCGACGTACACAGTGACGTAACGACGTCGTTCGCTGGACTCTCTAGTCAGTGGAAAAACAAACAGGTTTTGAGAAGGTTTGCAAGTTGAACCAACTTTGAACCAGGACCAAATCCAAACCAGTTCTTTTTTAGTTAGAAACAAGGTATATGCGTATCTGCATACTGAAAGAACTGACTTTAGGACCCAGAGGAACAGCTCATTTGCAAATTATACAGCTATAACGCCATCTAGTGGCTAGAGTCATGAAATATCATGTTCAATTATTTTTTTCCCACTAGAGGTCAGCAAAGACACCCAATGTAAGATATTTAGAGCTGAATTAAAGCAGCACTCAGTAGGAATTCCGTTTTTGTCAAACAGCGACCCCTAGAGTCGCTGTGGAGCACTTGTACGGTCGTGAATAGCACTCACGCAGAGATGGCTCACACTCACGGCCGGATCCCCTCCCCCTGTACACCGGTACCTGTTCAGTAGGATGGACGCTGTAACGAGTGGAAATAAGGTATGGCCCCTTTAAGAGCTGCGCGCGCCCAACACCACATGTATATGGCGCCGGGTTATTTCTGTTTGATGCTCATTTTATCAGAATTTTATCAGATCTGTTTTTTGCCGTAAAGCAATTTGTTACCTCGCGAGACCTGATATCACACGATACTTGCTAACACTGCCCGCCGGCCCAAAGTTGCAAGGGTGGTTTTGCGGCTCACAGGCACCAGGGGGGTGCGAGACGACCACCATTCAACACGAAATCAGTAATATAAACATTACAATGACTCCAAAGCTGATCGGTTAAGGTAAAAAAGTTACTTAGTTCACCTTTAAAAGGTTTAGGTATGAAATTGTGAGTTATTTTGAATGAATGGTTGAAATAATGTGAGGAATGTGCTTAAATCTAGCAATTTAATGGTAAATAAAATAAAAAATAACAAAAAAATGCATTAAAAAATAGAAAAAATATGATCAACAAGAAATAAAAAAAAGCTTTCTGGATCATTTTTAAGTATAATTTTAGGGCTTCGGGTCATTTTGACCCGCGAGGGAAAGATGTGTTACAAAACGCATGTAAATATAAATGTAGGCCTAAATCATGATTTGTAAGACTTCCCTAACATGGAACGTTCTCAGAATGTTCTGGCAAGATCTCTCAGTGTTACAAACAAACGTTCTTCCAGTTCTTCCAGACTTTTCAGAGTTATCTGGCCTTTAATAATGCTCTCAAAACGTTATTTATGCATTGTTCATGGAACATTTTTATTTCTGAAATGTTTTAGTTGGACATGTTTTTTTTATGTTGGCCTACTGTACTTGTTTCAGAATATTCAGAGAACATTCAAAAGTAACGTTCTTGCAAAATCACGAAATGGAATGTTGGAAAGAGTTGCATTAAAGAATAGAACATTCAGAAATAACATTTTCATAAAACGATCTTAGAACATATTTTGGTCGCTGGGTATTTAAGGTCAAATGTCTGTTGGTTAAATCAAATCAGTGGTTTTGTACGTTGAGAAATGAGTTAAAATAATAAATCCACAGTGACAAACATTAGGACAAAAGCTACTGTAAATAAAGAAGATTGCACTCAGGACAAGACTATTTCACATTAAATCAGGGTAGCGCAAGTTATCACATGATTCTTTTTTCTTCATGCATTTGGGATTTCTTTTTTCCCCCTTGCATGGGTTATAATAGTGGAAATGCTAAATATATATATAGAGAGAATGTTCTCTGTTAGCTGAGTGCAAATCCAAACAAGATGTCTGACCTGTTTTGAAGCACAGCACTTGAGTTTGCCGTCTCTGTTCGTCTCTGATGGAGTTGTATTGCTCTTTTAACAGTGCGATGTCCATCCTAACGCTGGTCTGGTCTGAGTGATCTGTCCTCATCTCTCCCCACACATCTGAACAACAGCAAGGCTTCATCCTGATAACACTTATTGAAGTATGATCATAAATGCAGCTTGATTTCCTCTGAACAGAAGATCTGATGTGTGGATGTGTGTTTTGTGGGCATTGCCTCCAAGAGTTGCAGCAAAGTGCAAACAAACCAGGGCAATTTAAGGTTGTTCTGTTTGCAAAGACAATGTTAAGATATTCATGTGCAATATTCATATATTAATATTCATATTTGCAAAGTGTGTGTGAGAAACAAATAAATAAGGTAAAAGAATGACATTAGAAAAAGAAAATGATGTGGTTAAACTTCATAATATCATTAATCACTCAGTTCCTCGGCATGTTTGCATAGTATTGTTGATGCAGTGGGTGAGGTGAACTCATTTTGCACGTAATTATGTTAAAGTTGAAGTGTATTGGCTAAGTAATACTGCTGTTTGTTTAGGTGAATTGCTTGCAACATTGAAATAATACAATACTGTATGCAATATGGTTAGTAATTGACTGAGACATCATTGCACACAAAAAAAAAATCTTTTGAAAATGCCTTAAATTCTCTCTTTCTCTCAGCTGAAATGTGTTTAATTTAAGCTAAAATATACATTTACATAACACAATATCCAACTCACTTTGATAAAATACAATTTAACACTTCAGTGATTTAAATTCACCTCAAATTGCATGGCTGCTTTATTTCTGTGGTGTGAATAAGTTATCAATGTTTTTACAGGTGCATGTTTAATCTTCTCTTTCTCCTGTTCACTTCCTCTGATACTTCCATGAATTGTCTCAGACATGTAGGCCAATAGTTTCCTGTTTCTTAATATGTGCTGAAAAAATATATATTAGTAAATTAGCTGTTTTAAATACATGTTTCTAAAGCGCATGGCAAATTACACAACTGACATGCCTTGGGCTACAGGTTAAAGTTCATGAAACTTTGCAAAACATGTTTTTTCGGAGATGCGCAGTCCCTTTAAGTGTCCTGTACCTGTTAATATCACATGCTCGCTGAGGTCATGAATATTCATTAGGCTACATGGAGTTCGCCGACGTGATTGGTGAGTGGAACTCTAGTCAGCGGGTGAATGAACGAATCCAGTCATGGTGAAGGTTGAGCTTATGAATATTAAGTAGGTCACATGACTGTCGCTCCAGGAAGTTGGCGTCAGCGTCCTCATGAATATTAATGAGTAAGCCTTCGCTACTGTAGCGTTCGATGGCGGGATGTTTGTGATCTGAATGGCTGAAGTAGCAGATTCTTGGTTTCTAGGGTTTGATTTCAGCACGCAACAGGTAGAAACACACACACACACACACACACACACACGCACACGCTTTTAATGAAGAGGGGTGTTTATAAATAAACATGTCAGTGTCTATCTAGGATAAGAGACGTACTGGAGAAATAATTGCATGATGTTTTATGATATAGTCACTTACAAAAAGCAGTGTAGTGCTACTATAGTACAGTGATTTACCATGATATATACGTGGTACTTAAAGTTATTTAAAAAAAAATATCACTGTGATACTATGGTACATGTAAAAAAAACATTAACTTTAACTTAAAAAAAAAGAAGTACCATGATATTTCTTTGTACTCGTTATACAAAACACATTCAGACAATTAGGTTGCACTTTATTTTACATTACAAGTAGCCTACTTCCAGTGTATTACCGAAGAAAGTACTGGTTAATATTAGGTATACATGGGTTAAGGTTAGGTTTAGGGGGAGGTTCAGGGTTAGTACCTACCCACATAGCAAAATTGGTTTGGCCCAGTGACGGGCCACACAATCCACTTTCACTTGGCCCAAATACAGCAATGAATTACGGTACATGACTGGACCAGGTCTGGTTGCCAGAACTCGGGCCACATATGACCCATGGCATAGCCATATCTCAGCCAAATGTACGACTATAGCTGGCCCTATTCTGGACCAGGTCTGGTTGCCAGAACTCGGGCCACATATGACCCATGGCATAGCCATATCTCAGCCAAATGTATGACTATAGCTGGCCCTATTCTGGTCCTTTGTAGGACCAAACAATTCCCAGACAGCAACAGTGTCGACCCAGATCCGGCCCACATCTGGGCCGTGTGGAATCCACGTGTACAAGAAGTGGGCCAGATCTGGGCCGACACTATGTTGCTGTCTGGGTTGATTCATGTCAGCCTCAACTAAACCATGATCTAGCCACTTTATATACACCCTGCTCAGCTAAAAAAAATGTCTGAAACACAACAGTATTCTTAACAAATGTTTATTTTTTCACATTTAAAAAAAAAAAACAAAAAAAAAACTTCTTGAATGTCAAGCTCTTGAATGTCAGCTCTTGAACGAGTCTTTTCCATACCGTGGCTTTACTCAGGTCTTTTGTTCTTGAACCTGAAACAAACACAAAAGAGAACATTATAAATTGAAAAAATATTTATATAAATTATTAATAATATAGAAAGCACACACACACACACACCAAACAAAAACAATCATAAATGAATAAGACTACAAGGTCCGTGTACGTTTTGATAAGTTTGTTTTTCAGTTTAAAATGAAATAAGCAGAAACAAGAAAATGTTTTTTTTTTTTATAAACAAAAATATAAGATTTTGACTATATTTTAATTTTTTGGTTCACAGCTGAAATCTTGTTTTTTTCATTTCTTCTTATTTAATTTCAAAATGAAAGACAAACTATCAAAACCCATAAACCCACTTGCTCACTTGTTACATAATTTATCAAACAAAAATTTCAACAAATTGCATAAATAATGAGTGATACCACAACAAAATCCACAATGGATTAGAAATGCAAACACACACACACACACACACACAAACATAGGCTAAATTTGATGTCAAATGTTGTCAAATTAGAGGTCCAAATCTAATCTCTCTTTTACTCACCATGGCTAACTTACATTTAGGCTACTTGCTAAAAAATACAGTCAAGCTGTTTTTCAAAACTTTAAACTGCCAGTGTGTAATATACATGATAATAACATGTAATCGCTGTAATGATGTAAGTTAGCATAATTGCAAAAAATGTATAGGCTATGTCTTAAATGTTAAACTTTTTTTGTATGTGTTACAATACTGATTTTATCTCTCTGTGTCTCTGCATATTTGAAATTTTAAGAGGGCTTTGTCGTGATATGTTGTTTATATAACACAAATTAGCATTACAAATGATCGAACTTAAAATTTGATAATCTCTATAGAAGATATAAATATCATAAGGGCACAAAATTGTTAAAATCCTCAATCAATAGAATATAAACAAAAGTAATCAATATCCTTATGATATTTATATTTTTGTGTGATGTTTCAGGTGCCAATTGCTGCTATACATTTTAGTATGTTAATCCATCAGTGTATGTCACTTAAATTGAAATGGCTGTGATATAAAAATAAAGATGTCTGATGTCATTTAACGTTAAATGTAATCGACGAACATAGTCAACTTCTACATTTTAACTAACAGCTACAATTATACATTGTGGCACATCTTTAACATTTCACTTTCCGTCTATACTAACTCATACTAACTCTAAAATTAAAAATTATCACTTACCAAACTTCGCTCGCTTTGAGGTGAGAAGTCCGCAACCGTTAGTGAAATGCAGTCGAGTGCATCAGTGCGCGCCAACTTCTTCTTCGGCAGCGCTGGATCCGGAAGTATAAATAAATTTTTTTTTTTTTTAAATTTGGGTTGAAGCGTTCTAAACCATTAACTAAACCGGCTAAATCGCAAGATTGCACAGTTTCAATTGAAGAAAAAAAAAAAAATATATATATATATATAGGCTATATATAAAGAAGACAAAAATACAAGATTGAGTGTAAAGACTACAATGAGGTAAAACTGCAAACCCATGAAGCATTGCGGTTTAGGCGCGCTTTCTGGGCGTGTTTTTCTAGATGCAACCTGATTGGTAAAACATTTTTAAAAATGTTTTTTTTTTTTTTTTTTTTTTTTTTGCCATATTAGGACGTTGTAAGAAAGAAACGATCGGCCTTCTTGCGCATGAAATGAGACAATCAAACAATTAAAGTTCTATTGTAAATTAAAAATGTATGGTGTTTCATATTTTAAATTATTATTAGGCTAATTAAACCTTGTTAATAGAGAGCAATAAGCCCATGGTGCAAACAGGAATAGGGGAAACAGCTGTGTTTATGAAAATATTATCAATTATAAAATATCTGAAATTACATTTTAACTGTGGGATAAGTCTGGCCAGACATATGTGGGCCACATTTCTATATTTTACGTGTGAGACAAATAATACACGTTTTAACCACTGGCCCATATCCTGTTTGCCGCCTTAAAAACGGTTCAATCTGCCCATAACCGGGCTATGTTCGGTTCACATGCCTCATGCCAGTGCCGACTGAATGCCGTGCCGGCTTCATGTCAAATCTGGGCCAGAATTCTTTGCTGGGCCAAACATGGCCCGGGTTTGGCAGAGATGGCACTGGATTTAAGACGGCACCCAAGACATGGGCCAGATATCAAATGGAGTATTTGGCCCAGATGTCAAATATAGATATGTGGGCCATTTATGTATGGCCGATCTTGAGCCACATTTAAAATCATTTAAAAATATTTTTGAGTAAAATCCCAATGTTTTCCCATACAGAAAAGTAATATATTCACAAAAATGTGAAACACTGTACAATCTATTGAAATACATTTTGAAAATATATTTTTAAAATGCATAACATTAAATAACATGTTAACATTTTCACTGTAACATATTTTACAGTGTTTCACATATATGTGAATATATTACTTTTCTGTATGGGAAAACATTGGGATTTTACTCAAAAATATTTTTAAATGATTTTAAATGTGGCTCAAGATCGGCCATACATATATGGCCCACATATCTATATTTGACATCTGGGCCGAATACTCCATTTGATATCTGGCCCATGTCTTGGGTGCCGTCTTAAATCCAGTGCCATCTCTGCCAAACCCGGGCCATGTTTGGCCCACATGCTGTATGCCAGTGCCGGATGAATGCCAGCTGTGCCAGACACATGCCAAATCTGGGCCAGAATTCTTTGCTACCTGGGTAGTTATTATTATAACCCACCCAGTTATTGTAATAAGTAGCCTACATAGTATTTACATGAGGAACAGTAAAGTGCTACCGTCAATCATCATGCTTATAAAAGAGCTCTTAAATTCACATTTAGTATAATCTGCCTCTGAGTGTAATCTGTGCACCAACACTAGGATTAATGGTCAATCAGTGGCTTTTCAATGACCTTTGGTCTCTCTGAATCTTAAATATTTGTTTAGATATTTGTGTTGACCCACGGATCAGGATGAGAGATCACCTAGTGCTCAAAAAGTGTGAATTTGACAACAAAATCATTAAATGAGCCTGGCGTGGGCAAGTGGACACATGCAATTGAATTAATAACCTCATGAAATTTTGGTTCATGATAAAATGCATACCTTGAATGCACTAAAAATAGCTTTGAATAAAATCACCGGCCAAATGCATGAATATAACTGTACATTAAAGTGATGCAGACAGTTTTAAACTGAAGCGTAACGTCCTGATCTGGTCTTTTAAGCTGAAAGTGGTCGCGATTGATGGAAAGCTTGCGGTTGTTCACCAGAGCAGTGTTCAGTTCGACAGCGAGCTGCCAGAGTTCAGGTATTACATTCACTCACTTCATGGTTTGAAAATGCCAAATTGCTGCTTATTATAGTACTTTTATATATCAAATTTCTGTTGTACAGGGTTCCCATGGTCCATGATTACTGGATAAGGAATTATTATTAATGACTAGATATGGAATTATTATAATAACTCATAAAGAACATTTTTTTAGATAAGCATAAATACACATAATTATATTTGGTATTCTGATGTCAATGATGATGTCCATTAGTTTTCCAGGCCTGGAATTCACAATTTGAATATTTCCTGATTTGCTTTTTGTGTCCAGTAACAGTTGTTTTCCTCAGAGTCCTGATTTTTCCCTGTGTTTCTGCAGGACTCATGGAGGAGTTCACATCCACTCGGACCAGCTGACGGTCACGTCTCCAGCGCTCATGTGGGTGAAGGTAAAGCAGCCGATCCTCTGACACTGTAGAGAAGGGCTACTGTATATACTGTATCATACACGAGGACCGTGGCGGAGAACATGTCTAACCTACAGTGATTCCTCGTGTTGTGTTGTGTTGTGTTGTGTTGTGCTGTTTGTGTTGTGTTGTGACATCTGTTGTGCTTGTGACATTGTGTGTGTGTGTGTGTGTGTGTGTGTGTGTGTGTGTGTGTGTGTGTGTGTGTGTGTGTGTGTGTGTGTTCGGACTGCAGGCGCTTGACGTTCTCCTGGAGAAAATGAGGAGTGCTGGGTTTGACTTCTCTCGAGTGAAGGCCGTCTCAGGCAGTGGACAGGTGACTTTTAATGGGTTATTTATGCAGTATAATATATTTTTTGATTATCTGAATAAATCATCCCTCATAATGATGATCAGTATTTTTTAAATGTGAATTTTCAGTGTTGATTTGGGGCGAATTTTAGGGATTCCCTGTATTTGAACATGGTAAAATGTGTAAAACATTTATTAAACTGACATTCATGAAAGAAAAGAAAACTCATGAACTTTGTGATTGACAGACATTTAAAAAATTGTGTCATAGCAAAAAAATCTGGTATATTTTAAAAATATAGAAATATTCAATCTATCTATCTATCTAATCACTCCAAAGAAATTTCTCCCACATTTTCACATTAAATCTCCAAATGAATGTAGAAATGGCATAGGAAGTTTTTTTTATGTAATTATTGCCATTGAACAGTACAGTATAATTGAAGCCTTAATTTTTTAACATTTATTGGCTTTAAAAATAACAACTTTCAATTTAAGTGAACTTAAAACAATCTTCACATAAATCCATTATAATAAATGTCACATTTAGTTATTGTTTTTATTGGTTTAGCGATCATATGCAGTAATCCTAAAAACAGATGCTGTGTTAAATATATTTTACAGAATATATATATATACATACCAGAATTATTATTTTTTTTGCTGTATTTTGGGTGTTTTTCTGTTGATGAGGCTCAGTTCAGGTCTGGATTTCACTGCATGTTTGGACTGATGCTTAAAGGGTTAGTACACCCAAAAATGAAAATGATGTCATTAATGACTCCCCCTCGTGTCGCTCCAAGCCCGTCAGACCTCCGTTCATCTTCAGGACACAGTTTAAGATATTTCAGATTTAGTCCGAGAGATTTCTGTCCCTCCATTGTAAATGTGTGTACGGTATACTGTCCTTGTCCAGAAAGGAAATAAAGACATCATCAAAGTAGTCCATGTGACATCAGTGGGTTAGTTAGAGTGTGTTGAAGCATCGAAAATACATTTTGCTCCAAAAATAACAAAAACTAGGACTTTATTCAGCATTGTATTGTGTTCCGGTTCTGTTGTGGATCCGCGTTCAGTGCCGCTGCTGACATAAGACGCTGCTGACGTGTGTCTGGTGTGTGTGTGTGTGTGTGTGTGTGTGTGTGTGTGTGTGTGTGTGTGTGTCTGGTGCGTCCGTGTATTCGGGTTCAAATAAATATGGCTGGGCAAATCAATGCAAGTCTTCCTCTGTGTGGAAATCCTTAGACATGTTTGCGAAGATTGCGTGCGTCTCCCTCAGACTGTAAACGAAGCTCGGGCGCACCAGACACACGTCAGCAGCGGCACTGAACGCGGATCCACAACAGAACCGGAATACACACACACACACACACACACACACACACACCAGACACACGTCAGCAGCGGCACTGAACGCGGATCCACAACAGAACCGGAATACACACACACACACACACACACACACACCAGACACACGTCAGCAGCGGCACTGAACGCGGATCCACAACAGAACCGGAATACACACACACACACACACACACACACACACACCAGACACACGTCAGCAGCGGCACTGAACGCGGATCCACAACAGAACCGGAATACACACACACACACACACACACACACACACACACACACCAGACACACGTCAGCAGCGTCTTACGTCAGCGGCGGCACTGAACACGGATCCACAACAGAACCAGAATACACACACACACACACACACACACACACACACACCAGACACACGTCAGCAGCGTCTTACGTCAGCAGCGGCACTGAACGCGGATCCACAACAGAACCGGAACACAATACAATGCTGAATAAAGTCCTAGTTTCTGTTATTTTTGGACCAAAATGTATTTTCGATGCTTCAACACACTCTAACTAACCCACTGATGTCACATGGACTACTTTGATGATGTCTTTATTTCCTTTCTGGACAAGGACAGTGTACCGTACACACATTTACAATGGAGGGACAGAAAGCTCTCGGACTAAATCTAAAATATCTTAAACTGTGTCCTGAAGATGAACGGAGGTCTGACGGGCTTGGAGCGACACGAGGGGGAGTCATTAATGACATCAGTCTCATTTTGGGGTGAACTAACCCTTTAACACCTAGACAATGGACACCTCGGAGGGCATTCACCCGCTTATACCATGGTCACTTGCCAAATAACACATTTTTAAAACATTAGTTTATATTTTAATTAGTTTTACAGTCGAAATCTAAAGTTTTGATTTGGTTTCCCTGGTTACGGCTGATGGTTTATTTAGAACTCCTTTGGTGTCCTCTATCACTTTTTAATGGACACCCTGCAGCCAATCAGAATCGAGTATTCACCCAGACCACGGTATAATCTCAGTTACTTCATCTGTGTTTCAGCAACATGGCAGTGTGTTCTGGAGGAAGGGCACGAGACGAACCCTCAATCATCTGGACCCGCAGAAACATTTACACGTCCTGTTACAGGTGACGGACATCTACAGTTTCCCTTCTCCTCACATTACAGGATCAGTTGTTCTCCTCACCGTCCTCGCGCTCAGACTGTGTGTGTCGGGTCGAACGTCCAGCGTCTATGGTTAATACTTCACCTGATGTATGATGACACAAGCTTTCAGAGATTATCTGATGT